TGAAATTAGCAATATTGTTCTTCTAGGTTTGCAACAGTTCTTCCAGGTTCTACTTGCCTATCTCTTCTGTCATTTATTATTCAGTCTAGGATAATGATTCTGTAGCTCATAGATAGATATGACATGATTGTCTACAGCATTTACTTTTAATTATTTTCCCACTGTGGTCACTGATCTAATTGGCCTCTTGTTTCCCAACAAGACAAAATATATTTGCAAATCAGCCTCTGCTGTGGGTAGAATCGGTGAATCAGAACAAAGACTCAGGCAGACAAGTCCACTAATTTCATCTCGTGTCTACAAATGGCTGAAATATGGCACCAGATCAATATAAATATATGCAGGATGCAAAAATCATAAGTTAAATCTTTGTAGTTTACAGCAAAGTATGTGACATTTACTGTTTGCTGAACAGTTTGAGATTAGCAACATTTAGATTTGGTAGCCATGAAAATAATACAAGTTCCTTATAGATAATAAAATGTCACAGAAACATTCTGAGATAGCTTGTATTATTTGTTTGTTTAAGCAATCATTAATTCACCTTTAATTGAATTCTAAGTATTTATAATCTCACATATGGAGAAAAATCCATAATTATTGAGGAATGAGGGAAGGAGGGCCTTAAACATCACGTAGGGGAGTAGATGATGAGGAATTTGCAACTGGTAAGGAGATTTGAAATTAATTCTTTTTTCTTTTTTTGAGTGGCACTGGGGCTTGAACTCAGGACTTTGTGCTTTCTAGGCAGGTACACTACCACTTGAGCTACCCCTTTAGCCCTTTTTGCTGTGCTTGTCTTTGAGATAGGGTTTTGATTTTTGCACAGGCAAGTCTGGACCATAATTCTCCTATTTTATGCTTTCCACATTAGCTGGCATGACAGACACATACCACCACACTCTGCTTTTTTTTTTTTTTTCTGTTGAAATAGTGTCATAAACTTTTTTTGCCCAGACTGGCTTGACATTGTTATCCAAATGATCTCAGCCTCCCAAGTAGCTAGGATTACAGGAATGAGCCATCCAGTTTGGCTTCAAATTAATTCTTGAGAAAGAGCTGAATATTATATCTTCTGCTTCCACATGGTAAAGGCAACAAATCAAAAGCACAGAGCATGTAAACATAAGAGAAGCTGCCAGGTGTGAGCTGAAAAAAGGCTCAGAGACTAAGGAGTAGTTCTCTTCCTGTCTATCTGCTCATTGCTAAAGGTGGGCAATGGGGATTGCAACAGAGCACTCAGGAAAATATTTGTGTGGCTCACCTTTGACTCAGTCCCCAGTAGGTCCCTGACCTCAAGGTTGCATGCCCACATAGGCTGTTGCAAAACCTCATTAAAATCTCTCTTTTTGAGAGGCCCAGCAAGTGCAGCAAACAATTGGTGACTCTGGGTGAAGGACACAGAGGTATTCATTAAGCTATTCTTGAAATTTCTCTTAGGTCTGGACTTTTCAAAGAAGTAGCTAAGAAGAGAAATAAAAATAATTCAGTTGAAAAACATAAAGCTGTGCTGGCATTTGTTCACAGCTTGGCTGGGAAAAGGAGAGAAAGTCAGCAATGGTTAATGCAACAAAGTTGCAGCTCTATGTACTAATGATGGTTCATGTCAGAAGAATTTAAAATCCAATTCAGAGAAACAAGATAGCAGAGATAGTCTTTGGAGACATTTAAACCTAAACCCAGTCTTTTTTTTTTTTTTTCCACTGGCAATTTGTTTTTCTTTTTCTTTTTTTATTTTATTATTCATATGTGCATACAAGGCTTGGGTCATTTCTCCCCCTGCCCCACCCTCCCTTACCACCACTCCTCCCTCCCTCTCCCCTACCCCCTCAATACCCAGCAGGAACTATTTTGCCCTTATTTCTAATTTTGTTGTAGAGAGAGTATAACCAATAATAGGAAGGAACAAGGGTTTTTGCTGTAAACCCAGTCTTAAACCTAGGAAATGCTCACCACGAAGTTATGGAACTTCAAGGATGATTGTTTGCTCAAAATAAGCCTCATGGTTGCCATTGAGTGAAAAGGGTGCTAGATAAGAAAAAGTCTCAGATAAACATAAACCTGGCTGGTATTAGTAATTCTAAATCCAGCCAGTGATAATAAACTCTTGAGGGCTATTGACTGAAAAACAGAGACTCTTCTCCATATTATCATGGTTAAATAATGTTTTTGATATTGTTTTATGTATTCTAACTAGAGGAAGCTATTGTTTCATTATCTTCAAAATTGTGATGACTGAATAGGCATCTGAATGGACAAATCAGATATGTAGCATTTCTTACCAAATGATGCTTTAAGAAAATGCCTGTAATCCTAGCTACTTGGGGGCTGAAATCAGAAGGATTGCAGTGCAAGGCCAGCCCAGGGAAATAGTTCATGAGATACCACCTTGAAAATAACCAGAACAAAATGGATTGGAGGCGAGGCTCAAGTAGTAGAGTGCCTGCTTTGTGAGCGTGATGCACTGAGTTCAAACCCAGAACCATCAAGGAAAAGAAAGCTTGCTTTTTTTCTAGTAGACATACATACTATTATCACTGGAGATGAATGTGTTTCTGCTACTTGTACATTAACTAGGAATTGACCACCAGATTGTCTGTTTTGGTGGTTTTAATCTGTGACTTTACTTCAGGCTCTAGGGACTTATTAGGTCCTCTGTGTTTACTGCATAAGTTCCAGCAGAGGTCAGAGGACTGCACTTTCCCCTCCCCCTTCATTCAGTGGACTTTTGTACTCTTGGCTTTGCATTAAAATGTCTGCTTCTAAGTATTTTGCATACTGAATTTCCATGGTGCCTTTATTAGAAATGAGTTTTGTATAAAATCAGGGGTAGCAAAGACTTTGATAGCTTAGTCATTCAATACTTAGGAATTTATGAAGTAAGCCCTTTTGGTTGACAATTCTAGAATCAAAGTTGAAGATCTCATTATTAGTGAAGAAAAAAGGTGTATCAAACAAAGAAATCAGTTATAGGCATTAATTATCAAAAAGTAACAGATTGCCCAAAGGTTTCAGAAAGTTCTCTGTGGGTCTTGGCAATTTACTGAACTTTCAAAATAAATAGCAATTTGTCAGATGCTGTTGGGGAAAATGCGCTGCTGACAAAGAGCACATCATAGAAAAGAGCCTGGGCTTTGTGAATAATGCTGCATGAATGCGTGTGCAGGTGTCTCTGCAGGCTCCTAACATCAAATCTTCTGGATATCCGGAAGAAGATTGTTGAATCGTATGGCAATTCTATTTCACAAGTTTTTGAGGAGCTCACACCCTGTTTTCCAGAGTGATTGCACTATTTTAAATTCCCACAACAGTATACAGGGGTACCCATGCTATCTAAAAAAAGTAGTCAAAATAATTGAAGCAGAAAATCGAATGGTAGTTTCTGAGGGTAGAGTAGGGAAGGGGGAATATTTTGATGGGTGTGAAATCACAGTAATGGACGTCCTAGAGAGCTTCTGTGTATACAGCGTCTGTAAAGAGCAATACAGTATTAGGCACTTAGTTTTATTAAGAGGGTTGATTGCATATCAAATATTCTTACTACAATATGACAAAACAAAGGGACACTAGGAAACTTTAGGAGATGACAGATGTATGTAATACTTTGACCTGGGTGATGGCACCACCATGGAAATTTAGTTCGAATGTGTTTCTCTAGATATAGGTGTATATATATATATATGTAGATATGTTCAAACTTATCTAGTTGTATCTGTTAAACATGGTCAAGGTTATTTTGTTTGTTTGCCTTTTTTACTTTTTTTTTTTTTCATATCAATTATATCTTAAGAAAGCCACTGAAAATGGATTTAAGGGCCTGACCTGCTCTGGAATGGTGAAAAGCCAATTTTGAACAAAATGTCCATGGTAGTGGAGGGGGCAGGAGGTGGTACTGGGAGCAAGCAGTAAACCATTTTCACCTCCAATTACAGGATTTGGGCTTAAGGAATTTGGATATAGACAGCAAGGAGCTAATTAAGCAGGCAAGTCACTTGGTTTTGAGGACAATACCCAAGTGGGGTACACGCTGTAGGTGACAGAACTTGTGCAGGGAGACTAAGTAAAGGTGAGGCAGAGTTGAGGAGGAGCTAAGAGAGAGGCAGCACTCCAGAGACATAAATTAATAATCTGTCCTTAGATACAGAGGTTAAGAAGATGAGTCTTAATCAAGTTCCATGAAAATGGGTGGCAATGACAACACTTGGGAAGGAGGACTGAATTGGGGTGGAGATGACATACCCAACTATGGAAAGCAATAGAAACAACAGAAGTGTCTGCACTAATTCTAGTGTGTGACTATGTAGACAACAACGACCAAAACCTTAATTGAGGGCAATGGGCAAATTCTATCTTGTATTTCACATGGTGAAGACATCACCCTGATTGTACTTTTGGATATTCAGATTCTGACATCCTATTAAGGAGTAAAGTAGTGGTTTTCCATGGTACAGAGTGAGATTCTGACTCTTCAAATGTTGGATGAGGGCTCATTAGATACTTGACATTGTGCTTACTTCTCTGTCCTACAAGTCCAAGGGCTAACTCATTGGTCATGTAGATCACAAAATAAGAAAACAATTTATTGCAGCAGAGACTGTTTTAATTAGGAAGCCTGAAAGGTTTTCTGTGACAGATGTTACATAAATAAATAGCATTTTAAAAGTAGACTTTTAAAGGTAGGTTTTTAGTTTGCCTCACTGCTTTGCTACAATGAAGACAGATGTCCCCTCTTCCTAACTTGAAACTTTTCACAATCAACTGGAATCAACTGATGGTAGCCACCATATTCTTTTCATTACTTCTTGCTAGGTGAGGGAAATGAAGAATGAAAAGGAAAATATGTGCTGTTTTTAGTGTCCTTTATCCTAATCCCTTTCCAAAAAGTCACACTCACGATTGTTTGAGAGTTTTGGAGGATATAATGTATGAAAGAAAATTCCAATAATATAATGTAAAAAATGTTGTCACATATAGAAGAATAAAAATCAGTGTTTTGGGGACTATTGCTGTGGGAAGAAGGGCCTGATCTTCATAGACACTTTCTTCATTGAGTACCATGACCCCTTCCAATTCATCCACACCACGCCATCATCTGTGCCATGCTTGGCCATGTCCCAGCTGTATTGTCCTCCCCAGTAGTATCTACCATTTGGATTGGCTGCATGGCATCTGTTATACCACCATCCACCACCATCCTCTTTAGAACACTGTTTTCTTGGATCTGCAGTTACCCTGAAAGGAAACATGTTTTGGATTATTAGACACAGAACTACAGTTGTCAAGTTCACTCTTTGCTGAGTACCCACAGGGAGACTGATATACTCAGTTGGAAGTGGTACTCTTTCCTCTGGGCCCTGCAGGTGAAGTTCCACCAGGACACCAAAGGCCATCTCTGTCTCATAACAAGAAAGGGAGACAGTTGGGTGTATGCAGCCAATTCATGAAGGAATTACATTGGTTACTTCATACCGAAATGATAATTTTTAGATACCTAAGTATTAGAAAACCTGGAAAACAAAATTATGGTCTTCATATAAACAATAGAAGATAAAGATACAGGCCAGGTGTGGTGACACAGATCTAGCTACTCAGGAGGCAGAGATTGGGAGAATTGAGGATCTAGGAGAGCCTGGAATCCATTTCAAAAGACAACCTGGACATGGTGTCGTGCGCCTATAATCCCTGCTACGTAAGTAGGAAGATCACAGTCCAGGGCTAGCCCTAGGCAAAAAATAAAATCTTATATAAAAAATAACTAAAAAAGCATAGGGTCACGGTTCAAGTAGAGTGTCTGCCTAACAAGTATGAAGCCTTGAATGCAAACCCCAGTACCATGAAAATAAAAAAGAAGATAAAGATGCAGGTACTAATCTAACTGCTCCTAACTCACAAAGTGACTATGCGTTAATTCCAATTCTTGACAGTGTGACTTTGGGTAAATTATTTAACTAAATTTAATTTGTAAAATGAGATTAATAATGGGTACTTTACAGCTGAAATGCTTTCAAGTGATATATGGAGAGCTTGGTACGATGGCTGGCAGATAGGGCCCAAGTAGTGGCAGTTGTTAATGATGTTAGCCATTATTAATGAGTCATAATATTCATGAGTAATAATATTAGTAGGAGCTTTTGAAATAGGAATGAAGAGCACAACACATACCAGCCATCATTGTCTCTGTCATAGGTGCTGAAGAACATGCCATTGTGTATAGTCATGGTTCTGTTTTCTCCCACCAGCTGGGAAGCTCCGTCCATGAGAGCATTGCCGGCTGTTCCTTTGTACTTGTTCACGGAGATTTGGTATTTGTTGGCCTCATTCTGCACTGTGAATCCTCCATAGTGTGCCTTGACCTTGTCTCCTTTCCAGTCCTCCATCTCAATCAGAAGTTCAGTGGGTCCCATCTTGGTCAGCTGACTGATTTTATCATTTCCAAGCCAATATTCACCTAAAGGAAAAATAAAATAAAATCTCACACAATTAAAAACTGTTAACCAACAGCTGCTTTCCCCCCCCATACCTTTAGTTTCTACATTTTATAGTTAATCATCTCTTAACTGTCTAAAACCTAAAATGGACTCCCAATACCCAATGTTTTTAATGGAAAAAAATCCCATATTAAATAAAGTGCTTTTATCTTGTTACCCCCAGGTTTACCTGGTAAGCCACAATATTTTTTCCCATCTGCATTGGTTGCAATATTTCCAAATCCTTGTTTGTATGGGTCCCATTTCCTGCCAAAGTCAACGCTACCATCTTGACGGTTCTGTATTACTGTCCACCTTTGATTGATAGAAACAAACATAGTGTAAGTTAACCAGGAACAAATAATATTTTGAAAGAAGTGTCTGAGTCCATTGTCCATTCAATTCATTTTATGCCCATTTATATTTGGCTTTCCAAAATAGATATAAGGAAAGAAACATGAGAGCTTTATCTTACCCCAAACCATGAATCAAAGACATTTAAAACATTTTAAAATCTCAGATTGAATTCCAATTCAAATACTTCATTGCTAGATTTGTTAGAATGAGGTCTTGCTTTCTTGCATGTAAAATAGTTGCAGAGTGATGTGTTAACATCTAATACTTGCCTCCGCTTTCTGTGTTCATGTCACAGTATACTTTATATGGTTTGATGGCGCTGTCAGGCTGAATGAGATACATTTCAGATGTTTCACCTCCTTTCCTGATAATCTCCTCACATTCTGTAAACATAAGATAACATATTATGTTCAAGGACCTACAATATAACCACATGGTCTTTAGTCTCCCATTCTTTTAACATAACTGATTACCTAAGTTACAGAGAACTGTTTTATTATAGACATTTTAGAATAATATTGTAGAAATTGAAATGTCCCTTAACTGGAAACCAAACTTAGTTTTGAGGAATTTTATTTTTTAAGAAAAATGGAAAATATCCTTTTGCACTTTTGTGCCCTGAAATATCCACAAAGAGATAGAAACATGGATGGGGAAACTCCTCCATCTTTCCATGGTCTTGTCATCTATTCACACAAGCACATACATGCACACATATGCACACATCAGCCACCCCTGAAACTACCACCATCACTATGTTCCATTCTGCTCTTCAGAAACTGGTAAAGTTAGCATGGCAGGATACAGCATGCCAAGGACATCTTCATAAAGTGCTTTAATGTCATTATGCCTTTTTGGGGAAAACCCACTTGATTTATTTTTCAGTTCTCTCATTTTTAGAGGACTGAACTCTTCTGGAACCCTCTAGAAATACTAGAAATATGTTTGTTTACTTGTTACCTTTGCCAGACACCACGGGAATGTTGCAGCTGACAGTGCATGGAGTGCGGCAGTATTCCATTTGAGCTGAGACATCAGATTCTAATTTTTGTATTTTGCTTCTCAGGTTTTCCAGGATTGAGCGGAGCACACGAAGGTTAATTGGGATATTACTATTTACAGTCTCCTCTATATATATTCTCTGGTTTTCCAGCACTGAGGAGTACTCATTTATCACGTTTTCATTATCTGGAAAAATGAAATTTTGTAGGAATGGTCAACATTTTTCACATTATAAAAACAAAGTGTATTCAACTATAGAATTATGATTTTGATTTTTCTGATAATAAACTAATAGACATTGAGTACCTATCAAGCAGTCGTGACATATAGTTGAATTTAGGGAAAATTATTTGACCTATGGCATGTACAAATTAACATAGAGGCCAGCTACCATATCAGCAATTTACCATGGGTACAAGCTAAAGATTATACCCATTAATAAAAACAATAGCTTGTTTAGCTCTTTGGTGAGGAAAAGAGGAGAAGACAGTATTTGGACATTCCAGCTCAGAAGTACAATGTCTTACAGAGTGGATACACTTGGTTTACTTAAAAATTCCATATGAGTACTGCAAAGTCTGGAAATTTACAAAAATCATTCATGATTCTTTTGATTCCTTTGATAAATGTCTAAATTTGGGTAAGCTACTCACTGAGACCAGGCTCACCCTCTGTCGTGCTCAATGTTCACATCTCAAGATTCACATTTAGATATCACTATCCCTAAGTCAATTGTCTATCACGTATTACTCACTCATATCCCAAACCTCAACTGTTAAATCTAAAGATGCTGGAGTTTTACTTTGTGAATATTGCCTTTTGAGTTACAAGACAAATTTCTTACAGGCTGAAAATAAGAAACTATAGTGAAATGTTTCATAGAAAAACATCTTTGTAGATGCCACACTGGGACTAATCCTGGAATAGTATGTATCAGGGAAAGTTGTGGGTGAAGGTGTCTAAGTGAGGACCCCACAGTGGCGGGGCTGACTGAAAGCAGTATGAAAGGCAGGGACAGCCTGGAAATGTTCATCTCATACTCACTGTCATGACTGTCTAACAGTTCTGAATTTATAAGAGTCAAATGTAAACCACAGGGTAGCTACCTTTCATTTGGGCCTGCCTCTTTTTCCACATGTCTTTTAGCACAGTCATGTACTGATAGGTGGCAGTAGAGGTCTGGGATACAGATCCCACATTGTTATGTAACTCAGCAACACTGTTTTTGATTGGTCTTTCCTGTTTTAGCAAATCATCTTGTAATTGACATCCAGTAGGACACAACACTCCCTGCAAACAAAGAAAACAGCGGGCATTAGATGATGAATTTGGGTTATGGATATTTGATAAAATAGCACATAGTACAAAAATTCAATGACCTCAGCCAGGAGTGGTGGTTCAGGCCTAGTTACTCATGAGGGAAGATCAAGGAGATTGTGGCTCAAGGCCAGTCAGGGCAAAAATTATCATGAGACCCCATCATAACCAATGGCTGGGCTTGGTGGTGCTCAGCTGTTGTCCCAGCTACATGGGGAAGCTCAGATAGAAGGAGCATGGTTCAGACTGGCCCTGGGCACAAATAACCAACACAGAAAGGACTAAGGGTGTGGCTCAAGTGGTAAAACCTCTTTCCAGCAGGTGTGAAGCCCTGATTTCTGCCATCTCCACCCCCCAAAAAATGATCTTATTAGTCAATACAAGAAGTTGATATTCGATTTTCTTTATAGAAGAGCAGAAACTTGAGAGTTATCATTATACTCTTATAAACTTTAAAAATAGTCCTTCCTACAGAAGAAATGTAATTAAGTTATGAAAAGTTTACTCACTTGAACAAAGGAAATAGGCAAGATTCAAAGACATAGGCAATACCCATACATATATCCAGATTTATTATCTTGTGTCCAGAACAAAAAACCCAAGAAAGAAAGCCTAGACCAAAGACCCAATTAAGTTTATGTTTTTAATTTTATTACCTAAGTAAACAAAATAGCAGTGATGGTGAGGCAGGTCCATGAATCATTCTAAGCTTCTCTGAATAAGACACCCACCAATGCAAGAAACACTAGTATACCCACCAGGTCTGGATCAGCATGGAGACAGCCGCCAGCATCAGGGGCTCTTTTCTCTGTCTTCTTTTTGTTGGCAACTACTTTGGCTGGACGAGCCCGATAGCCACCTGAACTAATGGGAGGTGGGGCAGGTCTCAGACTGGGAGGCTCTTCCCTCTTCCGGTCAATGGGTCGATGACTACGGGCATCAAACCCACCCTACAAAGAGCCAGACAGAAACAAAATGAAGTGTTATAAATTATTTCAAAGGTGTAATTGAGGTTATCACAAGCCTGATGATTTGCTTCAGGTCCATCCACTGGCTAGCTGGTGGTGGTGAATTAGAAGGTTACTTATATCTCTTCAGTAGCAAATGAAAAGTCCAACAAAGTCTTTAAAAAAGTCCCTAACACAATACTGCCTCAGATTATAAATAGTTATGACCTTAGGTCTTTAAAATCTAAACATTGGACAAAATCGTCAGAAGTCTATACAGTCAAGAAGAATGATTATCTTCAAGCCTCCTGGATTACTAAATTCCTACAATTGTTACTAATTATTTCCTCACTTTCAACTTTTATGAATTGATGATCAGGCTAATCCTTACATAATCGTACTTAAGAAATGACCCAAGCCTTGTATGCACATATGAATAATAAAACAATAAAAAATTTATTTGTAATAAGACAATCTTTGCTCCTAACATAGTACAAAAACAGTAGCTACTATGAGCTTAAACTTGAATGTAAGACTTGACCTTACACTTACTAGCTATGAAACCTTGGGCAAATTACTTCATGTTTCCGTTTCCTTATCTGTAAGATAAGGGTAATCACAGTTTGTCTCTGCCTTATAAGATTATTGTAAAGATTAAGTTTTTACAGATGACACCCTTAGAACACTACTTGGCACATTGTAAGTGCTCATTGTCATTTTACTGGGATCATACAAATCAGATACTATTATTTAAATGACTTCTCCCTTGCTAATTCTACTTTCTATTGATAAAATTGTTAAGTCATTCTCTTAAGATTTCCTTCATGATTTATTAACCACCATGATTTTCTCATATAAAACTAATTCTCAAGTTTTTTGTGTTGCAATTAAAATCATTTGCTGATTTAAAAATACTACATTATAACATCTTGAAGTGAAAAATATGCAATGCAATTTAAATGTTTTGATGTAGATTAAACATATTATTATAGATTCTTTGTCAATAGTTACACTCTTAGGGGACATGCCATAGATTAACATAACAAAATATGAAGCAGCAGCTAAGCTCTCTTGCAATTATGTGAGTCTAAAATTCATTGAATGAACTGCATTTGGAATTTTATTGTTCATTAAATTATTATTATGTTACCTAACATCCAGTGGGGTGGTGCTAGACTTGAAACCCAGGCAGAGTAGCTTCAGATTTGCCTGCTTAACTGCTGACTACATACACATACATCCTTAATGCATGAAGAGCTGGAGGAACATACATGTCTCACATCGAAGGCATATCCTCAACCAGACCTTGTCTACTCTAACACAAAATTTATGCTATGTGAATCACCTTTTTATTGAAAATAAATTTTAAAGAAAAAATTTCCTTTTTGTTTTAGAGCAGTAGAGAGGACACATTGATGGTCTGGATTTACTAGAGGAAAGAAAGTGAAAAATATTTAAAGGATTCTGGGGTATTTGGATCTCTGAAGACCACTTTTTCAAATAACTAAAACCAGAAAATCCACTGTGGAGCTTAAGCTACTAAACTTTTTCTGTGAGGATTAGTTAGTGAGTAGGAATGTGAAAGTACTTGCAAAGTACTTTCCAAAAACTTAGTCTTAAACATTCTTTACATTTTTCTTACCTAATGTGATTAACCAGACAAGAATCTGTTTATACGTACAATCTGATCATCAGAACACTTATGTTCCCGTCAAAGTCAACAAATAATCCAAAATGAATCCTCTCATTTAAACAGTATTAGCATATATTAATTGTACAAAGCAGTGGATTTCATTATGAAATGTTCATATATGTGTATATCATATTCACCCTCTCTGATACCCTCATTCCTCCCCACACTTTTCCCCTTCCACATTCCTAGTAGTCCTCATTTCATTTTCATGTCCTTTTTTATTTCTTCTAAATTTCACATATGAGAGAAATAAATGGTCTTTGTCAAGTCTGATTAATTTCACTTAACATGATAATCTTCTATTCTTATTTCTAGTGTGGAGATACTGTGTTTTGCACAATAAATTTGGTCATGATGCATTTGATAATTAAATTAAAATTCAAACAGCAATTTTTCCAAGTACATTTCTATTTTTTTAATTAAAAAATTTTAAAATTAACCCTCCTCATTGTGTTCTTTTCCCCCTCCTCCTCCCATTTCTATATTGTTGATAACATCAAAACAATAAGTTGACAAAAATAACACTTAAGAAAAAACTATTCTATAAATTAGACTGAGCTGTGTTTCATAACCATCAATATTAACAATAAATACCACCTCTGATTTAAATTTTTTCATCTAAAAAGAGTATTTCATTTTCTGTTACTACACTTGATTGTAATTTTTGGTCATAGTCAGTAACCTCAGGAATTATATATTATCCTCCTTCACCAAAGAGCAACTTATCTACCACAGTTTTCTTTTCCTTTAAAAACACTGCTTTTGCTATCTTGTAGCTTGCAAATATTTTAGATTTTTATCTTTACAATTAATAAGTATTGCTAGAACTAAGTGAAAGATCAGAATACTCAGGGTAGCAAGGAGAAAAAAAAACACATTTTATGTTAGTTAGCTAAGCCATCTTCATCCTGCTAAAACAAAGGTGATAAACCAGAAAACAATAAATTATTTTGCTTTCATATGTGCAATTCTATGAAGTATTCCTTAAGTAAAATAGATCCCTGCCATTAATAATTTAGTTTCATAGCAACAGTCAAAGGTAACTTCATTTAAACAGCTATTCATATCAGATTACCATTCTATTACATGTTATATGAATACAATTAGTAACAATATAATAATATTTTAAAAATCACCTCATCTTCGTAGTCATCAACACCTTGGGACTTAACTGAGAAAACACATAATAATAGCAATAATAGGTATTTCATGGTTTCAAATTTTTGGAAGTTCTAAGAAATCCTCTTTTGCCTGTAGACTTAGCTGAGTTATCTTCAATCCTATATATACTGGGTCCTCTGTTAGGCATGACTTCAGAAATGGTTACCCTTCTTTAGTTAATATTTAATTTTTTTGATTCACTTGTTGGCTGAACCATTTTACCACTTAAGCAACATCTTCCCAGCAAGACTTATTTACTTGTCATACAACTATTCTTGCCTGTTGGCCAATTTAGAAACACTAAGTTTCTTCAATTCATTTAATCAGACAAAATGATGGGAATGAGGCTTTCCTAAGAGCCATGGGTCACATTTCTTGTAAATTAATGTGCATGCTACACAAACTCACAAAAAATGTGGGAGAAAAAAATTTAACCCAAGCACAAAAAGTTTGACCTGTTCACAAGGCATTCACTAACATTGTGAATTCACTAAAGATATACGTGCATGCTTATGCTTGTAAGCAATCATGGAATCCCTCTTTAAAAGAGATCATTAAAATCAAGATGACTGGTATATTACCATGTGCTTATTCTTTCTTTAAAAGTTAATCAGAATAATAAAATAATAATCATGTCTGTGCTATGGCAGATACCACAAGGAAAATGTAAACAGGTTTCATATTTTGTCTTTTGTTAATACAAGTTAAAATTTTCAACAAATTCTAAACCTTATTAACATAGCAGTAGGTTATATATTACTAAATCAAAATTATTAGTATAGTGAGTGGATACATAATGTTCCATTTTACTATTATATTGTATCTTTTATTTATATTAGTTGTAGAAATGTCATTTTAATATTGGTGAAGGCTTCATCTGCTTCAATTAATATGCTCACACAGTAAGTGTGGCTCATTTATGCCACCAAGTCCATCTTTCTTGTCTGTTCATTTGTTTGTTGCAATCAGGATTAAGAACGCCTACAAAATCAAAAGGAAACTCAAAGAAAACAGCTCAAATTCCAGCAAATATGTTACTTTAAAGTGTTTTCCTGTCTTTTTGTATGGAAAGTGAAATATTCTCATTGAATTAAAGCACTGTTATTATTAGAAAGATACTGGGTTTACAGCAAGAGAGTATTTTGAACAAAAATTTGAAACAGAATCAATCTTCTAACAGTGTGAGACCCTAAACTCACTAGCATAGAGTGCATTCCCAAATTCTTTGAACTCAAAGTATTAAATTTAAATGAAGAAAAACTTGTGTATTTCCAAATTTGTACTCCACTTATTAATATTGTAGTTATAATACTTTAAGGTAATTTTCTTAAACTTTAAGATAATTTTCTTTAGTTTTAATTTTTCTTGGAAGAATAAAGAACCTGATAAAAAGCCAAACATATATTCATTAATATATACTGTGTATAAATTAATATGACATATTAATTATATTTAATATAATGCATTAATTAAAAAAATGGAAGAATGTTTCCCTTCAAAATATAATTAAGAAATACTATTTTAATAACCTGGACAGGATTTTATTTTAGTGATATATGAATTCTTGCTGATTTAAAAACTATTCGTTAAGAAGACTAAAACAGTGTTTTTCTTTTGAAGTGAGAAATGACTGCATTTCTAACCATGGCATTTTATCAATTAGTAACAGTTGATAACTATCAACCTCCAGAAGTCTGTAAAATTTTTCGTCTGGTAGATAATGGATTTCTTTAACATGAACGTGGACGTTCTTTCACACTACCACACTGTTCTGCCCTGACTGGAATTCTTACCATTGTCAGAAGGATGATGGAGAAAAAACTAGAACACAAGCTTCTTAAGAGCAGTGTGTATCACAACAGTCATTCCACAAATAGTGCCTGAGTGTCTTAACGGGCAGGTAGTGTGCCAGGGGCTGGGAATACATAGTGAGCAAGGGGACATCATAGGCATCCTATAAATAATTGTCAAAAGGGTGAGTGAGCTGGCTTCACTGGTACCTGCCTCAGCTATGGTATTCATTTACCTTATTTAATTCTCGAAACTCCTAAGTTCAAAGGATGATGAAACTGAGGTTCAGAGAGGTTAAACTACCTAAAAGCACATAGGTGGTCAGTCCTGATCCCAGTCTTGACCCAGGTCTGGTTAACCCAGGTGTCTATGCTTTGAGCCATTTCCATAGTGTCCAATGGAAATTACACATTATAAAAATTTTACCCGTAACTTTTTTTGTTTGTTTGTTGCTGTTTTGGGCCAGGCCATCATCCTAGGACTATAGTGTCTTAGCCTTGGCACACTCGTTTTTAGCCCTTATTTTCACCCTTATACATGGGTGTTGGTGTGGATGTTCATGCCTGTTTGAAAGGCATGTGCAATACATTATCAATAATTTTATTTAATTCTCATTCTTGTTAGTTTTTTTTCCATAAAGTTATACACAGCTATGTTACTGCTCTAAATTGACTGATATTACAAGGGAGATTCACCATGATTTCAAAGACAAGCAATGGATTTGCAGAGATTCTACTTAGTGAAATACTTAAATGTTTTAGCATGTTGATGCCATTGGTGGAGGGGAAAGGGAGTATTATTTGTTCAGTTATGTTTTTAGGCCAATAGTGCAGAGTTCTTTCTATTAGCTGATATTGTTACATAAGCCAAGGACAGTAAATCAGTGACAGAGAAAACAGAGATAATCTGTCCTGTCCAGCAGCTCTCTGGCGGGAACAGTGAAAACTTTCGGGCACTGATGGTCAATACACTTGTTGTTGCTACTTTTTCAATTCATCAGAGAATAATGCAGTTTGGTTTAGCAACTATTTATAGAGTTCCTGCTTTGTGGCAGGTAGTGTGCCAGGGCCTGGTATACCTTGGTGAAAAAGATAGGTAGAGCCCTGAACTTGTGAGGCTTTGTGTGTAGAGGGAAAGACAGAAAATTGAAAGTACTCACAATAATTGAGCCTGAGGCAGGGGACAGTGAGGCTTTGGTGAAGTGACATAGGGACCTCACCTGTAAGAGGAAAAGAGGTGAGGTCTGAATGGAAAAGGGTTTCTGGAAACATGTGGTCTGAATGATAATAATGGTTTATATCACATACTTGGTCAGGGTGTATTTCATCCCTATGTGTAGAGTGAGTTTATAAACATATAAATGAGTGAATCGATAAAATGAAATACTGACGCTCCTTGTCTATACAGGCACAGTTTTGGAGCTATTACACTGAATCATTGTTAGTTATCATTGAGTGCCTTTTCCTTTTGTTACTCTGAGCTTTGGTTGAGACCCCATCCAAAAGGCAATTGGCCCTGGGTAGTTGGGAGACAGGTTGGAGCAGACCATTCTATGCAAGCATAAGAGCAGTGTGACAGTGACATCTGCAGCTGGCCAGCCATCCTTGAAAGGACAGCTCATGGCAGGATGAAGAGTAGGAGGTAGCTTTCCTTGTGGATGGGCTCCCTCTACAGACCAGTTTGCTTTTCCTATGGGAACTGACATTGCACATGACCGACAGGGACAATGGGACCTTGTCTTCTCCAATCAGATGTGGATCACAAGAGCTAAAGACAAGATGTTTCTGTGTTTCTGTCACACTGAGACTTAAAAACCACGATGGTGTCATGACCATCTCTTGGAGTGCTCCTGCCTTCTCCTGGGATGATCCCTAAAACTCAAGAGTGGGGCTCTAGTGGTCCTGCCAATATGATGACACCCTGATTTCTGACCACAGGTCACCAAGCTAGGGATGGACTTACTCCTTACCCAGAGAGAGACTTTATCAGAGTCTCCCAATTTGGTATTTACAAAGGAAAGAAGCACAGAATCAGGTCAATGGTCCTGATGTCATATTCATGGTAGCAGTCTAGAAAGTACCAATCAGAGTAGCAGAAGTAACCAAAACTTCTAAGCTTCATCATTTGACTCTTGTGTCAAATCTGTGAGACCCTGCATGTCCTTTCAGTAGCACTCACCCTTACTTCGCCTTTGATGAAGTTAGGCTGAGATGGTTTCTGGGATTTGCTGGATAAATCCAAAAAGAAAATTAAGGCCAAATATTTAGGAATCAGACTGGTTATCTTGTTTTTCAGCATAAAATGCAAATTAGAAAGAGAGGCTGTATTTTCAAATAATGCAGTAATTAAACAAATTTAATTATTTAAATGTGTTTACATATTAAGTATGTGGTAACAGCAATAAAAATCCGAGGAAAAATGCAAAGTTTCATTTTACTTTGGAGCACTTCAGTAATACTTATTTAAAAAATCTTTCACCCTTTCATCATTTCTTAAATATTTCTTGAGTTAAATTAACAGTATTTTCTGTAAAATAAAGACAATGAAGACATTGAAGATAATGAAATTTTTATGAAAAGTTACAGCTTGATGAGAAAGCATGAACCCTATATACTAAAAATGGGCAAAGGATATATACAAAAGAAAAAGAAAAAGATGGGGGCATGGCTCAAGTGGTAGAGCATTTGCCTAATAAGCAAATGCTTATTAGGCCCTCAGTTCAATCCCCAGAACTACAAAACAAAAAAGACAAAAAAACAAAAAGAAAAAAGGAAACATGAATGTGTACCGGGAAAAACATTGAACAAAGATACAGATCAAAGAAAGCTGGAGAAGCTGGTTCTAATAACATGGAAACTCTAATAGCGAAAGGGGGAAAGGTGGAGGCAATGGGTAAGATGAGTTAAGTTTAAGCCGGGGAAAGAGGCAGGTTAAGTGAGGATAGACACAGTACAGGATTTAAAGTCCTCTTTCAATCACTTGTGATTTCTGCAATATTTCAATCTATTTTGCTAATATTTTGTTGTCTAAGATTTCTTTTAGGAGAATTGAGACCTACTTTAAGGTTTGATTAGGATGAAGATAACAGTTGCCTGGGTCAGAGAGCTGACCTCTGATTTTTGGGTTACATTTATGCAGCTGTTTCAGGAAACAAGATAACTGCTGTAATACAACCGATTGATTCAATGCCTGTCACTGTTGCCAGTACTTGACACTAATTCTTACAACAGCATGAAGTAGAGTAGCCTTCCCATTCCCGCTGTTCAAATGGGGAATCAAGGCACAAAAAGAA